AGAGTAACACGGAGTAAGATTATTAAGTTCTATAAGGTGGTGTGGAACAATCACAGTGAACAAGATGCTACGTGGGAAAGAGAAGATTATCTACGAGAAGTTTATCCCGCCTTTTTCCAAGAATGGTAGGTCTTGCAAATCTCGGGACGAGATTTTTATAAGGGGGAGAGGCTGTAACACCTCGGGTGTTAGCCTTGCACAATTTGACTTGCATAACATGAGCATGAGCATCAAGCATTCATATATGAGCATTTACACTTGAAACGTTTGATTGAAACATATGCAACATTTCTTATCATTTCATGTTTCCTTGTATATATATGCATATGATCAAGAGTGTAAACATGTAGATGACTATGTGACCTTGCAAATAGCTTAAACATGTTTAGAATATCATCATGAACAACTTTGGTATTTATGGCTAGGGCTAATTAGGTCATTATGTCATAGTTTAAGTATGTACCATCTTTTGAATGTAGCTTGTTTGACCAAGTTTGAACTAGGTGTTAGAGACTTTGCATGGAGGAGATCACTAAAGCAAAGTTGTAGTATTTGACATAAGGAACAACTTTTATTTTTGGGTCATTGACTGATTTAGCTCCTAACATGCTTGAATTGAGATCACAAGAATTAGCAAAACCAACTTTTCAACACTTAACAAAATTTCTTTGAGTCTTGTTCACTGACAGTCTGACAGCAAAATTTCTTTGAGTCTTGTTCACTGACAGTCTGACAGCCTGACTTTGGAATGAAATAACTCGAGTTTTGTTGAGTGTTGGAGCATGATCCTTTAATAACAATTGGAGATGGTACTTAGGGCTACAATTTTCGTTTAAAAATCATTCACTGAATCACCCTGTATCGACGGCAAATTCAACTCAAAATCACGTCGTCAAGCTCGGTTTTGGCTTAACTGACGAACTGAATGGAGAGCTTCAGTGGCCGACCGGTTCAAGCCTTGGCCGCCACGTGGACGCGAGGTTGGCCGCGCGTCGCCGGCGCCCTGCCCAGCGTGGTAGAGCCTGGCCAGAGAGCGCGTTTAAGTCGTCTGCGCTCACCCGCACCCACCCGCACTCAGCCCAGCTCTCCAGTCGCCTCGCCTCGGCCTCATTTCCTCACCGCGGCAGCAGCCCAGCTCTTCCCCGCCTCCGCCGTCGCCATAGCCGCGCCAAGCCTCGCTGAGCCGCCCATTCGTCACCACGGCAGCACCACCGTCTTCCCAGCAACTCCCTGTGTCTCCCCATTGCCGCTGTTCCAGCTTGGTAAGCCACCGCAACGCGCGCGAGCTCGTCGGAGCTCCACCGCTAGCCCCGTCTCCGTGGCCATGTTGCCACCATCCACCCCAGGCCGCGATAGGGCGTTAGCTAGGTCCGCCGTAGCTCGGTGATGCTCGGCGTAGCATTCGATCGAGTTGCCGTAGCCTCCACCGGTGCCTCGCCATCGTCCAGCGCCACCGCTCCGCCATGAGCGCCGTCGCCGTTGCTAGCACCGACGAGCAGTCCTACCAAGTAGATGGTTGTGTGCGCAAAGTCGAGTAGAACATCTGGTGAAGACGTCACCGCCGACGAGTTCATCGTCGGCGAGCTTTGGCCGCGCAACCGTCTCGCAGCGCCGCTGCTCTGTTCGTGTCTCACTGGCGTGTGGGGTCCTCTGTCCGGCGGGTCCCACCGGTCAGCGACAGTTAGAGTGTGGGATAGTTCATTTGCTTCCAGTTTTTGAATTCTTTTGTGATTTTTATATCTTCAGTTTGGTAGCAAAAAAAATTGTGAAATAAATTGGTTAGTGTTCTTTAGGAAGTGAAGTATTTAGGAAAAATATGTTCTCAACATTTGCAGTAGAAATTTTTGGAGATTTAAATAGAAATTTGAAATGTGCTTTTGAATGCATGCAAATTTGTTTATTTTATATCTAGAGTTCCTGTGCTCCAAAAATTATGAAATTTTTGTGGTAAGCTATTCTTGTCATATATGAACTCTGGTAGAAATTTGAGGATCATTGCATGTGTAGATTTATAGTTATAGATTTTTCTTTTATGAATAGTTAATCCTTGTATGAATTTTTATAAATTATTTATGAATCCAAAATTCATGAAATTTGTTGGAGGTAATCCTAGTACCATATGGATGCTAAGAAAAATAGGAAATCTGTTGCTTGACACTTTTCACTAGGGTTTTCTATTTTTGCTATTGTAAGCCTTTCTGTCTTGTCATTTTTGTATAGAGTGTTTTATTGAATAAAATGGCATGAAACTTTTACAGTAGTCCTTTGATAGCATTAGTAAGACACTGTAAATTTTTGAGAATTTATGAAGTAGATCTGGTATATGTTTATTATTTAACCTAAATATCTAAGTAAAATAATAAATGCATTTAAATAAATAGTTTGGGCTTCACCATTATATTATCTTAAATGTATTTGGTATGCTTAAACTGTTGGTAGACTTTATGTTGTCAAATTTTGACTGATTACATGAAGTAGAAGTATTGTTACTTTGTATTGCAAATTGAATAGTTTCCGGACAGATTCTGGAGTTTGATGTGTTGCCTGTTGAAAATGATGTTTGCTGTAAAAATGGTTAATAACAAAGTTGTAGATGATTTGATAAGCTTTCCAGAAAGTCCAGGATCACTGCATTTGGATTAGTAGAACTCCAGTTATGAGTGAAACAAATAGCTGTTGTTTTGTGGTATAATCGATGCATTGTGGAAGTAGATAATTAAATAATCAAGAAGAGATATGCACCTACTCAATAAACATGATGCACTTGTTAACATATATGCATTCGTAATACTTATGCCATATTCATGCATCTAGGATCGGAAGAAGAGATAACGTTGCTAGAATTTGAAGAAGCAGAGGAAGGGGACCAGCAGGAGAATCCGCAAACCGCAACTCCCGAAGGCGTGGAGCAGAATCCTGAAGAGCTTCAGGAGTGTCCTGATCACCGCCCTACTCCCTTTCTGCGAGGCAAGCCCCAGAGCATTTTAAGTCTCCCAGTATTTTACAAATGATTACTTAAGTACTTATGATTGATGCATTAGGTTATAAGAGTTGAATGGAACCACTTAATTCATATACATTCCTTGTCCAGCTATTACACCTTTAACCGGTATAGGTCCAGGATCGAATATATGCTTAGCCATGCTTAGACCGGTAGAAGTCGGGTGATTTCCTGTCACCTGCGAGATATAGGTGGATACCGGAGCACGGTTGATTATAATTGCTATCGTGGAAAAGAACCATGATTAATGTAAATGGAGACCGGGCGGGATGTCGATAGAGAAGCAACAAGACATGGAGGTCTTGGGTGTGGATCTATCCCCGTCTGTGTTGATTAAGGACCGTACCGTTGTTGGCGCTTCTGACAAGATTGAACGCATGCCTCTCACTTAGCTGGCCGGATAACTCGTTCCGACCGCGAAGCCGAGTAATTCAACTCAGGCCGGGACCCGTTCTGTTGTGCGCTCCTTCCGGGGAACGATCAGACTGAGCCCAAGGGCAGGCTAGGCCTGAACGTCCTGGCATCTGGTGTTCCAGATTGTGCGGCGCGGTACGGTCCCGTGAAATATGTACCTGAGTTGTACCAAAGGTGACCTAAGGCTATCGTGGCTGGTAGACCTGGGTTTATGTTAGGAATAAATTCCCAGCTGGTTGAAATCGATTCGAATCGCCGTCTCTCCCGGATAGTGAGAAACTTGGCTAGTCTCAACATCGTAGTAACTGTGTTATGAACATGATGGTTCGAATAAATATGGAATTACAATACCTGCTATGGTTACTATTGTTTGCTTTTAAATGGATATACCACATGTTTGGCACAGGATAGTTGCTAATCTAGAGATGGATAGTTATAAATAATTGATAAAGGAATCATAATTGTACAATAAGTCAATTGCTTTTATGCAAAATGTTGTCAAGCTATCTCCACTTATACAGCCTCGCATAATCCTTGGAGTCATTTTATTTCTGGTTTATGACGGGTAAGTCTAGCTGAGTACCTTCTCGTACTCAGGGTTTTATTTCCCATGTTGCAGATGGCACTGTGTATCATGGTTATTGCAAGAGTTGCTTCTATCCCGCTGTGGATGTGGAGTAAGCCTTGGGCAGGCTTCTTATTAATCCTTCTACATGCTTTTGTGGACCGTGATCGTATCTTGGCACTGTACTAAACTCTATGTTGGAAACGTTACTTTCGAACTTAATTGTTTCCGCTTTATCTATCAAACTCGGTTTGTAATAACTTTTATTCGTACTCTGATGGAGAAATGTATCTATGAACTTTATGTAATACGTGGCATGTATGTTGAATCATGTACGATCTTGTTTGTTGTAAATCGTTTATTGAGACCCGTCGTGGTACTCGACGGACTACCGGGTTTATATAGGTTCAAGTATGACAGTGCAACCGCTTGCAGGCTACCATTGTATTTGTACTCTTATAAATTGGTCGGTTCTGTCACATCATGAATCACAAATTTATTACGGATCCACTAGCCGCTTCACACGAGATCCGCTGCATCTAAAAGAAACATGTGCCGACTCTGCGACATCCTATAACAGTCTGCAACCCAGTTGACAACAGAAGAGCTGAATAAAGCTAACAGCAACATTTGCTGCAGCTTATAGTAACCTGCAAGCTTTACCAGTCTGCTCAACCACCATCTTCAAAGTTTTAAGCACTGCCATGTACATATGCCTACTTAAGGAGGAAAACAGAAGCAATAACGCGATACAAAAGATTCTTTTGCATTATACTCCATCAGTTTGGGCATTCCTATCCGACAAAAATGTTCATCCACACAATGCGGTGAATGTGCTTTCTAGTCGGTGAACAGATTTTAGAAGTAAAAGTTCAAACCGCCATGTTGTCGTATCTCGCTGTTGGTAACCAGAATGCTTCTTCAGAAGCGTTGTTTACCCTGATTTATGCTAACCATTCTTTGTAATGGCAGCGATGTTACAAAATTTGGTGATGTGAACCCTAAACTCCTGACTAGCAATTACATGACAACGGCAGAGGCGAAGGACCTCTTCCCAATAGAACTAAAACCAAGGACTGACCAGCCAGAACTTGCATTGTAAACTTCCACCTAGAGCAAATGAGAGGACTTATCTTCAGAACAGAACAGAACATAGCATAGAATTGAACGGTACGAAGTATGTATAGCGCGATCACTTACAGTATCCAAGATCTGCACACTGGACTGCATGCCACCAATTAGGAATAAGCTATCATCAAGATAAACGGCAGCAGCATATCCTCTTGGGGTGTTCATTGGATCACCCATCCTCCAGGCATTAAGACGAGGGTCATAGATCTCGACGCTAGAAACCATTTTGTCCCCATCATACCCTCCCATGGCATATCTGGAAAATAAGTCCGCACTGCAACTAAGTTTCTTTCCAAGATTTAAGAACAAGATGCTCTTAGCTATCTGTTCAGAAAAGATGCTCTTAGTTATCTGCGCAAGTCTGAAGTATCAGAGAAAATTACTGACAGGGTGTCTCCAAGGACAGTTAAGGTGTGGCATCCTCTCCTAGTACTCATACTTGGAAGCCGGACCCAGAAGCCCTCCCTTGGATCATACCTTTCTGCTGATCTGTATATAGTATGTTTGTCACTGTTAGTCTCTGAAGTAATTTTGTTGGAATATATTGTAACAACATGAAGGGAAATCGTGACAGATCTTACTCCAAGTACATGTCTCCATCATAGCCACCAGATGTATAGATGACTCCATTTAGTTCAGACGCAGCAAGAGCAAACCGCTGAAATATAACGCAGCCCAAATAAGATGTTGGTTCAAAGATTTGTTTCAGTAATACAGTATCCCATCCAGCCATCCTACTAGAACATATCATCAAAAGTCTAGGCAGGGTATTTAAACATTTATGCAATGAACTGTCATAACAGGCACCAATGTTACACATCTTAAAATGCATATATCTCTTGTTACTGTTAGTACACAATTCTGAAGGTTGCTGAACTTATAAGAATCCAAATATTTCAGACTAGAAGCATAAATTCAGGTAATACATTGCAATAGGTTAAACAATACCAAATTGGGTAATTATGCATGCAACTGAGGCTGAGAACATACAGAGAGCAGCATAGATGGGCTACATATCCATTTCCCAAGGTACGGATCAAACATCTCAACTTCTGAATAAGTTTCATTTCCATCTCCTCCACCAATAGCGTATATTTTATCATTAAGACAGATCCCAGCAAGACTTCCTTTCTTCCGGTTCAAGGAGGGGCATTCCGTCCACTCATTATTTCTCGAGCTATAGCATTCCACTACCCAAAAAAAACAGAGATAAGTAAATACATGCAATTAAAGATGAAAGCTCACGCAAAAGAAGTCACAAAATCATCTTACAGATGCCATGGTATACCTGTGTTATACCATGACATGCCATCACCACCGCCAAAAGCAAATATGTGACCATCTAATACAGCAGCAGATGCATATGAGCGGGGAGAACTCATTGGTGTGAGACCCATGACTGCATCTTTCTCAGGAGTAAAAGAATCAAGAGATGATAACCAGGTCACACCATTATAACCACCAATCAGGAATATTGATGGCTTGGCTAGAGTATTGCACATGCTTCCAAGATGAGACAGCGAAGAGTCAAATTTGAATTGTAACTCATCTACAAGGTATTCCAGCTGCTGAACTTTTCTTCCTGAGTCTTTAACTACTTCCCTCAACGAAAGTATTTCTTTGTCTGACCCAATCTGGAAAACAACAGAAAATAATCAGAATATCCTATGGAGACACCGTGTGCATAAATAATAATAAAAATAATGCCCCTAAAAGATCTTGTAGCATGGGTACCTCTGGGGACTGGGGCGAACACTAAGGCATGTAGATATGAAAGAAAAACTAGAGCTATCCAATTTAGTATGCGTGGGTTCCCCCAAACAAGTTAGGCCATGCATTGCTAGAATATTTTTTGTAAAATGATCTAACTAGTTCATACAAGAAAACATAGTTTTCCACTAAAAGGTATGTGATAGTGAACCAACCATGTCAACTATCACTACGATTAGAAATTTGAGTGTTACAGACATATCACTCTATCACTCAAGTCAACAAAGTGGCAGGATAGATGTTTGTATGGAAAAAGAGTTGATTTGTTTTTTTTTACTTTCAAACAAACAAACAAATAGGGGTGCAAATTGGTGACTCCAAGGGTCTCCACCGCCCCTTTTTAGTTTTCCAAAATGAGACCCTTAGGGTCAGCAATTCATCCCTTACAACAAATGAGGACATCGATAAACTATTTATCTCTATTATTCAAGAAGAAATAAGTTACCAGCTTCTTCTCCAATGCTTCAGTCCTCATCTGTAAATGAGTGATGATTTGCAGCACCTATAAATGGATGAAATGATAATATGAGAGGATTATATGAATTGTGCAAGGCACTTTTATGAAACAAAACTGAATACTGAAATAAAAGAAGGCTAACAAAAGGAACAATAGTCACCTCAGCATTTCCATGGCACTCATCAAATGAGGTTTTATCTTCCATTGTAGCATCAAACGGGCCACAGGAAAGATTTGGGTTGGTCTGGTTTTCATCAGGTACGCATTGATCTGAACCAGAATCAGTACAATCCTGGGAAGATATGGCCGCTTGCTGTCGTAGGGAAGATAACTTTTTCAGTTTTTCTAGGACAGTCTGTCTTTCTGGCTGTAGCCCAACAACACCACCTGGGTTATTGTGAGCTTCAATCTCTATTTCATCAACTTCCACAGCACCATTATGCTCATTGTGTGAATTCAAAAGCATTGATTCATCAGTTATGATTCTTTCACCATTCACAGGATTGACAACTGGATGATTGCATTCAGTAAGCTCCAGTCTTTGGCCAAGAGTTTTGCATGAGGAAGTTTGACTGACCACATCTGGATTGGAATGAGGACTAAATTGGTCTTGAAGAAGATTGTCACCCAAATTGTCATAATCAGAAACTGAATCATCAGATTTCTTCTCATCAGTGTTACTAGCACTTTCCACATCATCAGCCCAGTTAAATGGAGCGGCTGTATTTGATAGAACACTAAATGGATTGGTGTCCTTAGAATTTGCTGTGACTTTCTTTGGGTCAGGAACAGCTGATAGCTTCATTCTAGTTGGTGGTGATGATACTGCAATATTCCTTTTGCTTGAAACAGCTGGAACTTGATTAGCAGGAGCAAGTGATTTGAACAAAGAAATCAAAGCTCTTGTCTGTGCATGGTCAAGCTCAAAATAGAAGTGCTGATGGTTGTAATAGTTGTCACCAAGCAACGTTTTGAATTGGCTCTCCAGCAGAGGTGGATACTGAGTCTTTGTGCAAATACGAACCTTAAAAACACAAACAATCTGATGTAAACAAAATGGGACAAACAGCAGTGCCAACTACTCCATTCTATTATATATATATTTTTGACATTTTTATGGTCTTCCAGGTGGACTATCAATATATAATAAGGGTATACTTTTATTTATCATATTTTTTATAGAGTCAGTCTTGATTGATTTTAACATATATTTATATAATGGTACAAGTTTATAAAGTCTGACATCATGGATGCTAGGAAAAGCTGTCCTTAAAGAATGGAGGGAGTACAGATATTTAATATATTGATACCTGCGCAGGAAAAGCTGTCCTTAAAGAACCATCATTACTCCAAGCGTATGGGTCAATATACATCTCACCAGGACTTGCAGCTTCGAAAATTCCATGGAGCTTTCTGTCACTATAATTGAATAGAAATAAAGGCATGCCAGGTTTGACATTTCTAACATATGAATAGTGGACTGAAGGCAGACCTATAAAATAACTAAACAAGTCAATAAGGGATCATAATCTTATCAAGATAGAAGCTTCCACAAAAAGTTAAATTAATTGAGTCAATATTTAGAAACAAGGCATTTTATTTTCCATCAGCATACAAAAATCTATAATCACCCTGTTCGCTGATGCTGAAATTTGGCTTATGCTGATGCTTATGTTGAAATGTTGTGAGAGGAAAACACTGTTCCATGGCTGAAAAGTAGTTCTGAATAAGCTCAAGCAAACAGGGCCAATATCATATTATCTTAACAACATCAGTAGGGCATAGTAGAAGAGGTGAAAGGTGCATTTAACGGACCGAATAGCTGTTTTCTGAAGCATTCATCAATTGTATCATGCTTGCAACCAAAGATCACCCCTCCAAGCTGGTTTTCTCGGATATTACGGGTAAGTTCCCCATATTTGCTATTCTGATGATTCGTCAGCATTGCAAGATTATGGGCCCCACCTTCCAGCACCTGTGCTTCACAAATTTTCAGAATATGCAAGGCTCATAAGTTAGGTATATATAGTGAAATCAAAGAGATAGCATATATAGTGAAATCAAAGGGATAACACTGGGTATTAAGTCATAATATGGGGACAATGCATACATCTGCAACAGTGACCGGAAGTAAAAGGTCCCAAACATTTGTAATATGATTTTTCAAAGTGGGAACAACTTGAAACATTCAAGTTAAGAACAATTCAGTCCACTCTTCTTACAAAGAACAAAAAACAGAGAAAAGGATGTGGCAATTGTAAATCTTATAGGAGGGGAGCATAGATAGTCCTTTGGTCCTGACATGTTACCAAGCAAAATCACTACACAAGTTAACATTCGAATGTAACAAATTCATGAAGGTTATGCAGAGTAACACACAACAGTGTACTGAAAAATCAAACTGAAACAATAAACAATGTCATTGCCATAACAATCAGTTAAACAAGTTCTCAGATAAAAGGTTGGACCCAAATTAGACTCCCAGAAACGCTTAAAATACAATCATCTAATAATCCCTCAGTTTTAATCAACAAGTCCAAATGCCTACCCCAGCACCTAATAACCAGCCTTCTTAAGCCACAACACAGATCCAATTTCATCCTGATAAGAGTACCAAAATTACAATATAAGCTCAGGAACCATGTGGGACACCAAATACGAGTACAACCAATGTGACGCACAAGAATGTATGAATCCAATGGATTAACCATCACACAGTCTCAAAAACAGCACTGAAAAGAAATACATGTCACCACTATTTCAAGGACAGAAGTTATTGTGCAGAAAAACTGTCATAGAGAACTAATCACCACACAAGGACCATGTAAAACCAACAATATCTGATCAAAAAACAATTAAATACAAATTCACTACTGTTCCGAACCTCACAGGCACACAGCATCTAGCATCAACATTCGACAAGCTCTTGTAGAAACAAAAACCTCTACCCACTACAACCCACAACCATAAGATTGTGAAAGTAAGTAAGAAGAAGCAGACAAGTGATTGCAGGTACAATTGCCAACTGAAATTGCAAAATTCAGCTATTGGCATGTAAGCAACAAACCAAAAATTCACCACACAAGGACAATGTTCGGGGGAGGACCCCCGGCGCCGCTCCCCCCTGGCCCTCGATCCGGCGCTGGCCCTCCTAGCTTGCCTCGTCGCGGACAGCAACCTCCGCAGCGAGGGTTCCCGGCCTTTGCTCGTTTGTGTACTGTTTTCGCAACCAGGCACAGGGCACGAAGGTTGACCACGCCTCGAGAAGACAGAAGGAGAGGAGCCAGGCTGCAAGGACGGGCGGACCTCCGCCGGGGACATGCGAAGGTCAGGCGTCTACCGCAAGAGGGGACCGCCTCGATAGGGGAGACGGCCCCGTCAAGGCAATCGGGCCCGGGAGTGGTTGGCCAAAGGAAGGAGATTACCGCCGTACCCTTGGCGTTTGTTTAGCGCTCTTCCTCCGAGACCTAACCCTAGTGTAATTTTGCTTTGTCTCCGGGTATGGTCTATAAATACCCGGAGCGCTCGTGTAAGAAGGGAGAGAGAATCTTTTTCCGGACAAGTTTATGGGCATTTAATCCGCATTTTTACATCGTCTCGTGCTCCACTACCCTCGCACGTCTCCTCGAGACAGCCTAGTCACTTCCTGTGGGAAACCCTCGGCCTCTCCCCCCGTGCCCCATAGCGAGGGTGAGAGGCTAGGAGTGACCCCACAGACAATCAATTGTGGTATCCCGATTTTAGCATCAAACTAGCAATCCCTGTGACCATCACCACACAAAACCTAAAGTCTTAGACCTGCTTAAACTCTATGTTCAGCAAAAATAAAATAAATATACAAATCTTATCACCTGCTCAAACCCCTTACGCCTAGAGATATTTTGTGCAAAACAGTAAAAATCTGGACACCTGCTCAAACACTATTTTGTGCAAAACAGTTAACATCTTGACGCCTGCTCAAACACTAACACCTTGTGTATTGTGACGAACAGAGCAATTAAACCGCACAAGCGCTGCACAGCCCACGCCCCACGGGGCACATACTTATAATGTGGATCCACAAGAGTTTGCAGCAACAAGTTGTTGCGCCCACCGCAAACCACAAGGTTGTGAAGAGACGAGACGAGCAGAAGGTAAAAACTAATGCAAGCGCACAGTCCCCAACTGAAACTGCAAAACTGAACACCTGGCGCTTAGACACCAGAGCAAAATTCTGCCGAAACGGTGCGCTCGAGTAAGAGGGAACCCCTCAGAGATGAAGCAATCTAGTGATTCTGCAATCGGCACCCCCAAAATACCCAAAATTTTACCATCGCCTAAACCCTAATCCGTAGCGATCACTGACGCTAAACCCCCTCCCGTGCCATCCAAACCACAATTACCCAGTCGGGAGTCGATCGGCCAGTACCCCACCGCATCGATCACCATTCCCGCACCCACCAAACAGGCGTGCATCGACAAACCGGAAACCCCTCAACGAAGCAGAAAAAATCACGATGAAAACACAGAAATTCACCCCCAAATTGGAATGGGAAAACCCCACCGCAACCCGTGCAGGAGCGGTAAAAGCGCCCGCGGTGGATCCCAGCGAACCGCGCGATCGATCGAGGAGTGAGTGGGCTTCGATCACTAGGAGTAGGAGGTGGAGTCTCACCTGATTGCTTCGATCCCGGAGTGGCTGGGGAGAAGCGTCCCCTTCCGGCACTGGCTTCCTCATCCGCGCTGCTTCTCTCAGTTGTGTGTGTGCCGCAACGTGGTTCTTCGGACCCAGCAGCCTGTGCAGCAGCATCGCCCGAATCGTGTGGGGGAAGGGGCTGAGAGCCTGAGAGTTTTATAGAGGTGGGGGCGTGATCGGGTGGGGTCACTCCCGCAGCGACCGCTGCCGAGCTGGAACGAGGCTATGTTTTATTTCTTTTTTTCCTTTTTTTTTGAGCCAAGCCCAGGCGAGAAAAAAAAAAAGATCGCCAGGATGGATGTGAACATGTAACGATGATTTGTGTTGATTCTGTGCTACTCCGTATTAAATAACTGTTACTGTACTGAAACTTTACTGCCCAGCTACTGTACTGTTTTTTAACGACGAAAAAATTTGCAACCACGTTAATATTCGCCAAGGCGTGGAAATAATCTTTTACTATTCATCATTAGTATTATAGTTTATTTTGAAATCTAGATTATGACTTTTTTGTTTCTTATTAAAAATTATTTATCCTTGTATTATTAAATCAAAACTATTAAAGTTAAATTATCTCTACTATAAGAATCAATCAAAATTACACTTAGTCCACTCAGTAATTTATCCCCCATAGAAATGAACTCTCCTACGTCTACCCCAAATCATACACCCAAAAACTTCAATCCTATAAAAATAAATGGTTTAGATCTATTCTCACCCAGCTTCACCGTCATCCGATGGCCAAAGTTGTTTTGGTGGTGAAGCAAGGCTTCAAACGCACCAGCACGCGCGACATCCCGCCGAACCCGTGCATGACTACATGCAATTGCTCGCATCTATTCCTTCCTTTCGTCACTCCTCAATTCCCGCCCCGTTACTCATCGATTGCCACCCACAAAAATCCCCAAATCTTCCTCGCCTCAAATCATTCGAACCTCCGCTTCTTCAACAGCTCCCTCAAGCGGACGGCGACGGCAGGTAGATGCGGGCGCGCCGTCGAAGCACGCGCGGACATCTGCAAGCACACGCTGACCCGAACAACCTATGTCGCCTCCTCACCCAGAACAAGGAGATCCGACGCGGTGCGGCCCGATGACTCCGACGCCGATGCAGCTTGAGGTGCGGGTCCCCGAGAACGAGGAGGTGGCTGTTGATGAGGAAGCAGCCGGCCGGTTTCAAGGAGCACCTGGACCGCACGTTCGCCAAAGCCTACCGCAATGTCTGCGCGGCCAATGAGCCCATCCGGAATATCAATGAGTTCTCCAAGATGAAGTACCGACTCTTTCCTCCTACCTCCCCAATCCATTGATATTTTTGTCCTTTGCTAGGGTGAATGCTGCATTGAGAGTTGAGACAGGAGTTTGATCGATTTTTCTGTGCGGTTAGGCATTGGGAGTTGAGGCAGGAGTTTGATCGATTTTTTTGTGCGGTTAGTGTTGGTGGGAATTAGGATTATCTTATTTTGAGCTGTAGTTAGTAGGAACCGGATCTAATAACCTATGGTTTCAGTAATATTTTAGGATTTTCTGTGGTTAGCTTACTTTCATATCTTGGGCTAATATCAGAAATTTGTGTTTTCATTACTAATCAACTCTGTATATTTTGTTAGCCTACAAATCGCAATGTGCATTATGATTCTATACATACATATACTAGTAGTATGTCCGTACTAACGCTACGATAAAAATCAAAAGACAATATTTTTCTAGTTTCAACTGCCTGATCAGTTAATCCGGTGGTATATTATACTTTCTTACATGCAAAACCTTATGTGGATTGGAAAGAATACCTCCACCACCTAGATTCAATTTCTCTTCAACTTGAATTTGGATGCCTGTTTCTTCTTAACGCAAATCCCCCTACTTCCTTGTAGATCGGTCTATTTTATATTGAAAAAACATAAACAATATGTTGCACTATCGTGAAAGCGTTCTTAAATAAAAAAGCTAGTAATCTCATTCTGTATACTAAATGTTGGCCATTTTAACAGATTACGGATCAAACAATGGTACAGACTGTAGGAAAGGCAAGAAAAAAATAATTGACTGCATAATTCGAAAGCTAGGCATGAAGGGAAAGAAAATAAGACTCAAGCACTGTCCAAATGTGAAAAGGGAAGACATATTTCGACTCAACATAATTTGAAGGCACAATAGCCATTTTGGTATCTCAACTATTACTCGAGGCTCAATTTCATTCCTAAACTTTCAAAACGGCCGTTTAGATCCTCAAACTTTAGTTTTAAGCTCAGTTTCATCATACAAGATGATCGTTTTAGTCCTCAAAATTTGCATTTTGGGCTCAATTTCATCCATAAACTATCAAAGTGCATTTAACTTTTAATTTCAACTCAATTTTGTCTATTCAAAAAGAAAACTTTACATTTTAGGCACAATTTCATCCATAAATTATCAAAATCATAGATCTTCTATTGTTACAATATATCCATGTATTCTTAAAGAATAAGTACTATTCGAAGCAACTGTAATTGCTCCCACAAATATTATTTAGTCGGATATATATAAATGGTACCATTACAAGGTAACTGAAAATAACAGCTTGGAATTATTAATGGCCACGAATGAGTTGTTGGATGAATATTATTTTTCTATCTCCAATCGCGGGTGGTTTTGGAGCTAACTAGGTGCAACAGTGCAGCGTTCTACATAGAATGTAGACAAAATTGAGTTGAAAATAAAAGTTTAAAGAACAAAATACACTTTGATAGTTTATAAATAAATTTGAGCAAAAAATGCAAAGTTTGAGGACTAAAACGATCATCTTCATAGTTCTAGGATGAAATTGAGCCTAAAAGTAGAGTTTGAAAGACTAAAATGGCCGTTTTAAAAGTTCAGGGACGAAATTGAGCCTCGAGTAATAGTTGAGGGACCAAAATAACTATTCTACCTAATTTGAAATATGAGAGAAAAATGGAAATAAGTTAATATTATTGCTAGCAGGATAGGTTAAGGCCATTGAAGAGGAATAAAACATTTCTGTAGGAACACCATTATTAACTGGAACGATGTGATTAGCCCCATCACCCGCATCAACTAAAACACCTGTCATTTCACACCTGTCATGACTGTTCGGCTAGTATTAAAGCCGCCTGAGCTATTTTATTACGAGAGAAAAATACTGTAGATTTAAGCTGATAAGCCGGCTGATAAGTTCAAGCTGATAAGCTATTTTACCTCCCTGACCGGTTATAAGTGGTTTTCAAAGCCGTTTTTATCTTTATATTTTTTATTTATTTCGGTTAAATCTTTGAAAAATCATAGTAAATCATAGAAAAATCATAAAATGAAAAATCTAATTTTGTTGGACTTCACGTGAGTAGATTTATACAGTGAATATATAATATGGTACTCTTTAGAATAAATTTATTGTTGTAGCTTTAGATTTATGTTTTTCTATAATTAATTCATAGTTGTAGTTTATAGTGTCCAATTGTGGTAAAATTTTTATGGTGGACTAATTATTGTATGCTTGAGTTATAGTAAAAATGTCATACTCATTGGATCACGTATAACTTAGTTATAGATTTATAAATACTTTTTAACAAACATACACATAAATAAATCTATAACTAAGTTATACATGATCGAAAGAGTATAAAATTTTTACTACAACTCAAGCATAAAATAATTAGGCCAGCATAAAAATTTCAGCATAATTAGACTATAGAACTGTAGCTATAAATTAAAAATAGAAAAGCATAGATCTAAAGTTATAGTAATTTTTTTTAATAAAGCATACCATATTATATGTCACTGTATATATCTAGTCATGTGGAGTCCAACAAAATTGTATTTTTTCATTTTATGATTTTTCTATGAGTTACTATGATTTTTAAAGATTCAGCCAAAATAAATAAAAAGGAAAAAGACAAAACCGCCTTTGAAAACCACTTATAACCGGTCAGGGAGCTAAAACGAATGGTTTTAACAGTTGTGGTTTACCTGGTTTTAGAGTTCAGGGAAGAAAATCAGACTTTTGCAAAAGTTAAAGGAGGTAATATGGACTTTTTCCTTTATTAGACATACAAATCCATGCAGAGGTAGAAGCACGGGTGAAAAACGGTACGGATATTTTCCGACCGTATTCGAGACCGAATCTGTTTAGATGGGTTCAAATCTATCCGTATCCGAGTCCGGATATTCAACATCCGATACCGTATTCATATCCGAATACTCAAATCGTATATTTATGATGTTAATATTCACTCATATCCTATCCGATGTGGTTGAGACTATCTGTATTTAAATCCAAATTCGAATAGAAATATGAAAAAAATATAATATCACTGATATCCGTCCGATCCGTTTTCATCCCGGCGGCAGAAGACGACGACCCGATCCGTTTTCATCACGACGACAGGTCCTGGGACACGACTTGGGCCAAGAGTGAAGAACTGTATTGGCCCAAAAAAGGCCCAATAGATAACAGCCATGGCCGGATGCAGCGAGGCCGAGAAACATGGCACAGCGACAGGCCTTCCAAAAGTCCAAACCCCAGGTGCCAGGCCACCAGCGTGCTGGGCTCGGCAGGTGGCCTACAGAGTGGCCAGCCGGCCAGGCACCCAACCCCACGTGGGCTCTAGGCGTCTATCCAGAATTACTGTAGGACTAGGCACGTAAACCAACTACGCGTGGTAAATTACAAAAATACCCCTACATTATTTAATAGAAAATTTTTCTGTCCATCATAGTGTCTGAAGTTTCCCAACCCTCGGTGGGATGTGTGGACGAGAGCACTCCTCGTAGCTTTCCATTTTTATGTCGATTTTTTATTTCTTGCAAATATTTTCTCCACGCCAGTACAGGTTCTAGGTACTAGCACTGCTACTCATCAGATGCCATCGTAGTCTTTTATTTTGGGAAAAATTTTGAACTGCAAAGGTGCAGTTATGATGAGACGGAGGAAGTACGAGATTGAGAAACCCCACAGATTCCAAGCTTATCAGTGTGTAGAGTTCAATTCCTTAAAGATTTTAACTAATAATCTTATTCCTTAAGGCTTGTTTGGTAGAACTTCACCGGCTCTAATTCACCAAAAACAGATATAGATCCAATTTTATTAGCTAAACACTTCCAACTCAACCAGCTCCACCA